ACATTCTACTGCACAAACTAAAAAAACTCGGGTATTGGTGATTGTCCGCTAACCTGGTTTCGATCATATGTGTCGGATCGCTCGCAATATGTCCATTTCTGACAGCAACTCCCTACCTCTTCTTGTCACGTGTGGTGTTCCCCAAGGTTCCATTTTCAGCCGCCTACTATTCACATTATTCATAAATTATTTGCCTAATGTCTGCAAATCCTCAAATGTACACATGTACGCAGATGACACAGTTATCTATGCAAGCAAATCCGATCTACCGCAGCTTGAGGCTGTGCTCCAAGACCAGTTTACAGAGGGAGAAAAGTGGATCGCAAAAAACAAACTCTTCCTGAACACTGACAAAACTGTCACAATGATCTTTTGGAACAGTACCTAAATTACATAAATTAAAAAATTCACATCTATGCATCAAAACAAAATCAAATAGCACACTAACCACAGTCCACTCTTTTTGAAAATACTTGGGTATGTTGTTAGACCCCAATCTATCTTTTGGCCTCCACATAGAAAAACTTGCATCTAAACCTTATCCAAAACTAGGTGCCCAGGACAGAAACAAATCCTGCCTAAGCCCTACAGTAAAGGAAAAGATTTACAGCAAATGCTGATGCCAATAATTGATTATGAGGATGTAGTATATGCACCTGCACCACAATCCCACATTAATAAACTCAATACATTGTATAACTCGTTCTGCCGACTTGTGCAACAATGTTATTACAGGACCCACCATTGTGGTGGTGATTGGGTAAGTACATATTACCGTTATGACGGTCGGGAAGGGGTTAAAGGAACGCTATACCATTGGAATGTCAACATGTATTCCTATAGTGTTATACTTACAATATTTATTATTGCCTCTCACCCCAGAACTAATAAAATAAAGGATTTTACTTACCTCCTCTCTCCCCCCACTATGGTCTACGTGTTGGCACACAGTGGTGCTACTCTAAATTTAAATCAACCCTAACCCTAGCCTTAATCCTACAATTATTATTATTATTATTTATAAAGCGCCAACATTTTCCTCAACGCTGTACAATGGGTGGACTAACAGACACGTATTTGTAACCAGAGGTGTTAGATGCACAGTAACAGAGGGATTACTGCCCCTGCTCAATGAGCTTACATGCTAGAGGGAGTGGGGTATAGTGACACAGTAACAGAGGGATTGAGGGCCCTGCTCAGTGAGCTTACATGTTAGAGGGAGTGGGGTATAGTAACACAGTAACAGAGGGATTGAGGGCCTGCTCAGTGAGTTTACATGTTAGAGGGAGTGGGGTATAGTGACACAGTAACAGAGGGATTGAGGGCCTGCTCAGTGAGTTTACATGTTAGAGGGAGTGGGGTATAGTGACACAGTAACAGAGGGATTGAGGGCCTGCTCAGTGAGTTTACATGTTAGAGGGAGTGGGGTATAGTGACACAGTAACAGAGGGATTGAGGGCCTGCTCAGTGAGTTTACATGTTAGAGGGAGTGGGGTATAGTAACAGTAACAGAGGGATTGAGGGCCTGCTCAGTGAGTTTACATGTTAGAGGGAGTGGGGTATAGTGACAGTAACAGTGGGACTGAGGGCCCTGCTCAGTGAGTTTACATGTTAGAGGGAGTGGGGTATAAAGTGACACAGTAACAGAGGGGTTGAGGGCCTGCTCAGTGAGTTTACATGTTAGAGGGAGTGGGGTATAGTGACAGTAACAGTGGGATTGAGGGCCCTGCTCAGTGAGTTTACATGTTAGAGGGAGTGGGGTAAAGTGACACAGTAACAGAGGGATTGAGGGCCTGCTCAGTGAGTTTACATGTTAGAGGGAGTGTGGTATAGTGACACAGTAACAGAGGGATTGAGGGCCTGCTCACTGAGCTTACATGTTAGAGGGAGGGGGGTATAGTGACACAGTAACAGAGGGATTGAGGGCCCTGCTCAGTGAGGTTACATGTTAGAGGGAGTGGGATATAGTGACACTGTAACAGGGGGATTGAGGGCCTGCTCAGTGAGCTTACATGTTAGAGGGAGTGGGGTATAGTGGACACAGTAACAGAGGGATTGAGGGCCTGCTCAGTGAGTTTACATGTTAGAGGGAGTGGGGTATAGTGACACAGTAACAGAGGGATTGGGGGCCCTGCTCAGTGAGTTTACATGTTAGAGGGAGTGGAGTATAGTGACACAGTAACAGAGGGATTGAGGGCCTGCTCAGTGAGTTTACATGTT